CAAGCACAGCGAAATTGGCAGTTTGGTTCATTCCTCGTTTTCTTCCTATTCTTATGAACATGTCAGTGAGAAAGGGTAGTGAAAGTAAATACAAACCTAAAGGGATAGAAAGATATATGTTTCACTTGACACATCCACATCGAAAATAGTTTTGGCATCCACTACAGAGAAAAGGACTTAAATTCCAATTTTCTTTACCATTTCACGTTTTTTGATCGGAATTTCGCTACTATATCTTCGATTACTTTCTACGCATTGAATATTGCTGAAATGGTTTCGTACCTTTGAAGCTTCCCAAGGTTATCGTTCGAAATTTACGGGTGTGAGGTGTGACGGCCGCGCTCGCAAAAGCGCCCTTGTCCCACGCGGTGCAAAAACCCAAAACGCGCGATGTCGTCAACGTGTTAATATAGTACTCCACAAGCCCGTTCCTAAGGCCGTGTACATATGTATTACCAGTTTTGCTCCGCCCGCTATCGCGCGCATCACACGGCAGGCTTTAGCGAAACTGGAGGACCCATGGAATATCAGCATGAGGTACTCCATTAACCACCTCACTATTGAATGTGTTAGACCTTTCCCAGTTTCGCTGAAGCTCATCGAGAATACGCGTGATAACGTCTGGAGCTGAACTGGCATATTTATCTCACAACTGTAAACATCCAGCATTCTTCTTGAATTCAGATAATTTAGCGGTGAATAGGATTGCTGTCAGTCTCAAAATGAAAATGAAATATGCCTATTTACATAAGTGAGGAGCTAAGGCTTATCATTTATTTACATTCACCATTATTTAGAACCCCGAAAGGATTAGCGGTTTAATGAGTTTGGGCTTTCTTGATAGAAATGAAAGTTATCATTTGCTGAAGACTTGATTGAGTTTATGCAATAGACTGCTATTAAGTAAGCTGGTCATACAATGATACATGTGCACGTACCACTACAAATAGAATTTGTAAGTAGGGACGCTCTAGTGTCAGCGCAAGCTACGTAACGGAATCGACGACTTTTGCGTTCTGACGCGCCTTATCAGCCTTATCAGTTGTAACCACTTTCCATCACCACCAACAATGTCCCCGTCCCACCCCACATGACACCTGCGAGTATGGACGCTCTAGTGTCAACGCAAGCTGCGTAACGGAATCGACGACTTTTGCGTTCTGACGCCCCTTATCAGCCCTTATCAGTTGTAACCACTTTCCATCACCCACCAACAATGTCCCCGTCCCACCCCACATGACACCTTGCGAGTATGGTTGCTCTGGTGTCAACGCGAGCTGGGTAACGGAATCGACGACTTTTGCGTTCTGACGCCCCTTATCAGCCCTTATCAGTTGCTATCGCTTCCAATCATGTACCACCAACGGGACCGCCCACATAACACTTGTAAGTATAGACGCTCTAGTACCAATATGAACGACAAAACGAAATTGGCGATGCTCGCTTTCTAGCCCCTCTTATCAGCTATTATCAGTCGTTATCAGTTCCTATCACGTACCACTTGTGTCCCCATCCCACCCCCTATACATACATATGTAAGAACCACTATCATTACTGTGACTCGAGCTATGAATTTCCGTGACAACACACACACACACACACAGACATACACGACGCACCAGACATACGTAGCGGATATATACTCGGTAGAGTATGACTTTAAGTGCTCCTTCTCCAGAGCCGGAACGCAGCTACTCATAATTATAATGGTGTTGACAGCATTCCGAGTTTGTCAAGACGATGGACGGCCACGTTTTCAACCGCCGGCTCCTGCATTTACAACCATGTAATGTATATAAATCTACGTTTCCATGAGTCCACCGTCTCCGATGAACGGCTGTCTTTTAGATTCCTTGAGTCGTCGACTAAAAAATAACTACAGGCTGAAAAAGTTGCTGTGAAAACTTCACACACAGTCATAGGAATAGCTTGTAACTGTTATAACGATATTTACTACTGAGCTTGCTGCTAATTATATACGGAGTACTTTCACCTAGGGCTTGTCTAAAATTGCCGTTTTGCAAACCATCAGGTCGATATTGACCGCGCTCGTTTCCGGGCACCGTGACGAGCCTTACCTTGCCTCTCCTTCAACGTCGATTCTTTCAACAACTGGTTGAGGAAGTCGACCCGACTTCACCTACCTGACCAATACAGTCAGTAGCGACGAACATGTATAAAAGAGGGAGCCCTCAAAACATCAGACTGCGGATATCTGCAGTCAAATATTCTTTCATCTCTCGTTCCTTCTCCCACGACAAAACGTTCTGATGTTTTAACTCCCTCTTTTTTACATGTTCGTCACTACTGACTGCCTAATTCTAGACTCCTTTGATTTTGAGTCCATATTGCGACAACGTGATGCTCAAGGGCTCTGGTGCTTTGAGTAGTGCTGAGTTAGTTCAGAAATTATGAGTTCACGGCATGACCTGCTTGATTGGGCCGGTACCTACGGTAGGCCTTGCTCAGCAACTCATGCGGAACATTAACAAGTTGATGGCAGAAGAACACCTCTACGAATGCTTCAGAATATGACGTCATTTGGTCACCGCCGTCAGGCTCAAGGATGCCTGCCGTAACCGTAAGCCCTGACGCAATTTCGTGAATCGATTAAAGGAAGCGATCACGCTGGCTTCCACGCTGGATTTGCTACCCTCGCGTTATCAATCGATAAGGTGTGAGGCAGTAATTGTTGGACGAGTGTAAGCCCATGGAAGATATGATACGATGAGATAAGAAGGTGCGGCTGCTTGATAAGAGGTGCACTCCAGAATGAAAACGGGACGATAACGGTATCATATCTAGCACGCTCTTATCGCACCCCTTTCCACATCGATAAGTCTTGGTTTTTGCTGAACGGAAGTGGATTTCGGCGCCTTATCACTCCGTTGATAAGGCGCCACTGCCACTGAAACTTCACGTGTTCTAACATTGGGCAGGACCCCTATCCACTCCAATACACAGCTTTCCTTATCGTTCCCATGAAAATTATCGTGACCACTTCCTTTAATGTTGGATAGTTATCTAAGGCATTAGCTCCCAAATCCCCTCGAAACTAGCTTTCCAGTAAGGTCGTTATGGTACACGATCCTTCGAAGACCCCATTGAGCTCGACCAGTGCACCATGTTTCCAGGGCAAATTCTTCTGATGCCGTCCACGTAGGTGGCCACTATGAAGATTTTCTTATAGAATGAAATGCGCTCTTTAATATAAGTTGGGACCATTCGGTCTGAATTGAGCAAAGTGTGCTTAAATCCATCTGAAAGTGGAGACAAAATGTCTTTTTTTATTGGCCTCCCTGTAAATGTTAGTTCATGTAAAAGCGACCGATTCAATCACATGCCCTGAGCGTCACCGGAACGCTATGGAAGATGGTGAGAGTTCAGTAGGAAAGAGCCAGGAGTATGAATGAGAAACATATCAGATCTGAGGAATAGTTGGGAGGTTGTCCCGGCAGGCAGTGCAATCAGTGATTGATTCCACACTTATCCTTGTCGAGGTTTTAACAACTCCAGAAGGTTATCAAGAAAGTATTGAATCTGCTTAACCTTTTCTATCATGCGGCTAATTGTTTTGTTGAAGCTTTTTACAATAAAATGAAATTTACTCCGAATTCGGTCATACTCGATAATTTCTAGTGTAACGATTTTTTCCATGAATTCTTATTCCCATTCAATAATAAACACTTACTTAGTGAAGAAGGTTTGCCTCTAAAACATATCAAAAATTGAACTGATTTGTTTCAGAAAGAAGGCTACGGCCGAAGAAAGAATTTGGCTGAATACTTTTTAGTGCTATTGTATATGTTCATGAATTTGACGCTGA